AGGTTACATATAGGCGTAAAACCAATATCAATCAATCAACGCCAGGCGAGAACAAGTGTGAGCAATGAACAGTGTTTCGTAAGATTGATCAAGCACCCACATTTTCAAAGTGTACCGCGTTGGCGCATTCAAAATAGTGATTCGATTAGAGTACTACCATACTGACGTATTTAGACCTTGTTCAGCCAAATGAGCTTACTCTGGTAGTCGCCCATTGGCCACGCGATGTTAAGCCCGCCGTTCATGTACGTAGCCCCACTATAGGTGGCGTTGTCCAGGTCGTTGCTATATCTCGCCTTAGGATCCAAGCCCTGTAGTCTGAGCGGAGGTGCTGCTGGCTTGATCATGTACTGTTGCTGGAACGCAAAGACTATGCTCTGGTTCCCTTCTGCACTGACGAATTGCACACCAGGCCAGTTGCTGCTGTCGGGATGCGCAAGGCGGTAGAAATCACCGGAGATGACAACGGGGTTCACCGCCTTGGCTTGGGCCATGATGGAAGGCACGGCGGAAGCTTCCTCTGGGGAGAGTTCGGATGGGTTGAGTTCGAGACCGAAGGAGCCGCACATCATGGCGACGTGACCGCGGTATTCGATGCTGATGTTGCGATGGGTGAGACCGTTGGGAACCGCAGATATGTGGCAACCCATTGCGGAGGGCGGGTAGACCAGTGATGTGCCCATCTGGATCGTGAGACGGTTTGAAGCATCAGTGTTATCACTGGTCCAGTGCTGAGGCCAGTAGTGTAGAAGACCAGGATCAAATCGGCCTCCACCTGATGCACAACCCTCCCAGAGTACATCAGGATAGCTCGTTGTGAGATTGTCGATAACGCGGTATAGACCGAGGATGTAAGTGTAGTCATCAGATGGGCGGGCAAGCTCATGCATGCCACGGTTGTTGTCCCATTTGACGTATTGGACGTTGGCGGAATCGAGTACACGAGAAATCGAGCTGATGATGTAGTCCTGGACTTCCGGCAACCCTACGTTCAGAACCAACTGGTTTCGTGTCAACGTCCTTTGGTGCTTTCCAGCATGCAGGACCCAGTCGGGGTGCTCATGGTACAAGGTGGAATTGGGGTTTACCATCTCTGGTTCTACCCAAATACCAAATTGTAAAGGCGTGGACGACGCATTCAACACCGTGAAGTTATTGACTTGCTCCACGTACGGGCCTAGACCATCGGGGAACTTTGCTGGGTTGGGTGTCCAGTCTCCGAGACCCATAGTATCATTGTTGCGCGGGTACTCGACACCAAACCAGCCATCGTCCATCACGAACAGTTCAATTCCAAGCTCTTCCGCCTCGCCGGCCAGGCTGACTAGAGACGTTTCGTTGATATCGAAACTCAGCCCTTCCCACGAATTGAGCAGAATGGGGCGGGTTTGGTCCGTGAACTTGTGTCGAGAGAGGTGATTGCGATAGAGATCATGGAACGAGCGCGACACGCCACCAACACCCTGAGAGGAGTACACACCGACAGCTTCGGGAGACTGGAACATCTCCCCTGGTGCCACGCGAATGCTGGAATGAAGCGGGTTAAGGCCCATGAGAACGCGCACATAGCCGTTGGAGAAGCGCTGTGCTGTAGCTTCAAAGCTACCAGTCCAAACTAAACTGATGCCCCAAGCCTCTCCGCTAGATTCGGTGGTGGTTGGCGAAACCAACGCGAAGAAAGGGTTGTGAAGATGAGATGCATATCCTGCGGTACTTCGGAACCTGATAGATGTCAGTATTTATACAGCAACGCCTAGGCATATCAACTCACGAAGTCTCGCCATAATCGATCTTCCTCCTCACGGTCTGGAACTCATGCGACCAATCACCGTGAGGCTCAATCATCTCGAGGTCGAGATTGGGGAAGTCGGTGCTAAAGCTCGACGCTCTCTCGATGACGATATCAGCAGTACCGTTGTTCGCAATGCTGAAGCTACGTGCAATAGCGTTGTACTTGGGGAAGATTGAGTACATCAATGAAGCGGAAACATCCGACACGTTGTCGTGCATGTGCACGGTTACCGTCGTGACATCGCCAGCTTCTCCATAAGTCGCAGGTAGTCCTGGCAGAGAAGGCTTTCCCTGCACAATGTCGTGGGATTGGTAGCGGAAAGCGGATATCGTGTCGCCATCGGTGTGTTCGATATGGATAGCTGGTAAACGGAAGTCGCCGCGGCCAATATCGGGAAACTCGCGACGCTCGTTGCCTATCTCGCCAGCTACCCATCCGGATGGTAGGATGTAGGCTGGTGGTGTGAAGTCGTCGGTTGGTCCTCCAAAGTGATCTGAGATGAGGTCGCCAGACTCGGTATCAACGTGGAACAGGTATGACATGCCGTCGGCAGTAAGCGTGAAGTTTGTGCCAGATGCCTGAATAGCTGCCTCGAATTAGCGACTGCCTCTATTGTAACCTATAGCTATGTCTTACCATCTTGCGCCACAACAGCGCTGGCCAAAAGGCTCAACGCGAGACCCTTCGTACCAATCATTGCTAGATCTTACAGGTGAGCAATGCATCACGAATGTTCGTCAAGGTACCTTCTTAAGTACACTCCCAACCACCCTGGTCGCATGCCTAGCTTACATCGGGGATGCAGTGGACTGATCATCGTGAGGGGAAGTGGGGAGGGTCCGGGGTCGACAGACAAGCCTTTCAGCAATGGAACTCTGCGTAAATTGCAGCGATTGGGCCAGCTGCGGAAGATGGCGGATAGGATGCCGGATGGAGAAGGGACGGTGCTACTCTGGGTCGGTGCGACGTTTAGCCGCGGTTGATGTCGTCAACGGTCCCATAGAAGGCTGCAGCTGCCATCGCCCATCAGGTACATTAGCACAACGTTGAGCGGAAAACTACAGGAAAACGATGTGGCTGCCGTAGAAAAGCCGTTCAAGTAGCGCCAGCACCTCGTTCAAGGAAAACTCTGGACGCCCTAGAGCCTACGTTAACGAGGACAGCTGCAATCCACGGCCCAAGGTCAACGCAGGCTCCAGGGTATCCAATTTTTCCTTGAATGAGGTGCCAGCTGCTGGAGAACATGGCACGGGTGCAAATCTCGGGATGTATGCTCGAGGCTAGAGCGCCCAGTTGTCAGTGCTACTGTACAAGGGCCAAAGTCGTGATGCATGCTATTAAACTATACTGACGCTGGATAAGCTTTTGCTCAAACGCTTGACTCGTCGACCCACAAACCCGTCTTGCGATCTATCTCAGCTATGTCTTCCGCAAGATGAGAGCCATCACCCATAGCCTGATTCGTAGCTAGGGCTTTCAAACACCAGGCATGCCCAACCACGCTCTGACCTGTGGGACGCCTCTTGGAAGAAAGTAAACAGTCCACAGCGCTGCAAAGGCAACCAAAAGGCCCGTGAACTTCTCAAACCAAGTGTGGAAGTAGGCGGCCGTCATGAGGAGCATCCACCACATCAGCGCGGCGACACCAAGCGCGAACTTGACGCCACGCGCAGTAGCCTCGCCCTCAGACTTGACGAGGTCCTTCTCCACTGCGACGCTCGCAACTTTGCCATCAGGCAAGGTGATGAGCCTTCCATCCCTCAGTCCCTCTACACGCGTCAACGCAGGCAGAAACTCCAGCCACAGGAGTGACGAGCCAAGTATGAGCAAGAAGACGTGTCCAGAGATATCGTGTCCGCCCTTCCATGTTCCCCCAACCGCCTTGCACGTCGCCGCGGTAATGTACTCTCTCGTGGTGCTCATTTCTTCCCTCGCCTCCGGGTCCCTGATGATTTCGCACTGGCCTCCCGTGAACCTGAACCCGCGATCAATCAGCGGCGGCCCAAAGCACCACTGCGTCATGAAGCACCACCATGTTGTCACGACGCCATATCGCATCACCGCTCGGATGCGTCTCGCGCTGGCACCCTGGCCGAATCCAGGGTGAAAGGTGACGAAGACGGCGAATGCGAGTGTCGTCCAGAACCAGCCTTGCTTGACAAAGTATACGTTGAAGATGTTCTTCTTCTGCGCAAAGTACGAGGGCGCGAATTCGGCGGGGTGGGACTGGAGGACGGCGGAGTAGGGCGCACTGCGGTTTGAGGGTGATATTATGCTGAACACGCTACCCATGAGGAGCGTCAATGGGTAGATGGCGATGAGCTGCGCCTCGAGGCGGGTGGGGAGGAAGGGCGAGCGGCGCGCGGACGTAGAGCGAACGGTACCGCTGGGCATGCCGGCTGTGATAGGAGCCCCATTGCTGATGTCGGTGTCGGCTTTTCGACGCGTTGCCATGGTTGTTGTGGACGGGGGATGGGCTCTGTTGAGCTGGAGGGTAAGGGCGTGGCAGTTCCCACCTGGGCACGAAGCGAAACTCGCGAACAATGACGTTATTTGGTTTTGGCGGCTGAGCCAGGCGCGACACCCTAGCCCTATTCGGCCTGCCACCGCCAGCCTCCACAATGACAGCACTCATGCAAGAAAAAAACCTGAATAGGTCTGCAGACTACATTGAGATGAAAACATGCAAAGTAGCTGAGCTCAACCCAATGTAGGCTCCAGGGTGTGTAGGGTTTACATTGGTTGACGTGGGTCTCTTGCCTATCCCAGGGCTTCCCAGGCTCGGTTAAAAGACGTCAGCACAGCAAGAGCTCACTACCGGGAGACAGCATAGCACAGACTCAAGTTCGTGTCTTTCAGGTGGTATCCGAGCTGGACCGGGAGCTATCAACTCTCAATCAATCTCGGTGGATCGGTGACAGGGGCGTGCAGTAATCAACTACTGGCGAACCGAGTAACATGCTCAATTAGAATACACCGAGCCCTGGCAATCTGATAGTAAGTCACGGAGGCGATACTATTGATTGCATGATTTTCAGTCAAGTCGTCGAAATGTTGAACTACGTAGGTAAACTAGACAAGGCGAAATTCACCGTGAAACACCTCCACACTCACATTTCACTGTAGTTGCCTAGTTTCGCTCGCCGCATGTCCCTTATGGCTCTCTCGAAGGTCAGTCCATTCTCCCCACTTCCTTCAAGTCGCCCACATGGAGTCAGTAGTCGCCGTCCACACGAACGAGGGCAGCCCAGCAGCGCAATCTGCTCTGGCCGCGCTCGCAGCCACTCTGAACATCAACGAGCACGCGCTGAAGACGGCTCTCAATGGCGCGTTCGATCTACTGCCCGCGGCCGCAGGTAATGCAATGCTTGCGCTGCAAATGAGCTTTCAACGGCTGTCGTACCACATTGACAGCAAGGCTTTGGTCGAGATTATCATGACATTTCGACGAGAATTCGGCGGCGCTCTGAGTATGGAACGAGGTCAGTGTTACAGAAAGTCCAATATAGTTCCTCGCTGACAGAATTTCTCAGTCAAGTATGCGACACCCGCCCGGGCAACTTACAGTCAAGTCCATGGGCCGTATTCAGATCAAAACGTACATATCGGTCCTCCGCGGTACTCTGCCCCAGGTTTTCGATCATCCGGCGAGCCTGTTGGCCTACACTATAACTTCCCGGTAGCAGCACACTACCGAACTCAGAACTATGCATTGCCGTGGGGCTCAGGCTATAATGATAACGCCCTAAGGAACGCGACACAGCCAGGTGTGATGTCGACGAACCACATATCTCCTGTCTCCCCAGGTTACCAAGGTCCTATAATGGCTAGCCAGAGGAACGAGGCACCCTCGGTACTCCCAGACGGTCCATATTTCGGTCGGTATCAGTGAGTGATACGAGTTTGGCCCACTCGTGGAAGACGTAGCGGAAGGCTGGTTTTGATGAAACATTCGTAGTGTTCTGTACGAACAAGCTAGTCGGGTTGCAATGTTTCATGCATTTTTCGCTTTCCAAGGTTTGGTCGGTAGGATGCCTACCTCTTGATTCCTTAGCCATGATACCGACCGTGAATGTAGTTTCATTACCAGCGTTTAGTACAGCCTACACAATAGTTAGCTTGCTCAAATGGCAAGTGATCAACTGCCATCTATGTGCGGAACAAGCAAACGTACTCGTATTGTTGCATAAAGGAGTATACACGCGTGAGTCGAGGAACAATAAGGTCATGTCGTCTTTGAATAGCTAACGGATGTTTGACTCAACTTCACCTGCCTTCACCTGGTATATACACTCAGAAGAATGTCGTGCTCACGGTCCATTCTGGCTCACTTTTCACACCTTCAGTGTTTATATGTTCTCTTTCTTACCATCGTCTTCCCTCTGCAACCTCAAACTTATAACGAACAATCTTCATATACAGTATCATGGCCAATAACTCGAACTCCAACAGCCCCAATCACGAAGAACCTTCTGGTGGTGCTGGATATCGCCCCCTGAAATACCTGGACGAATCTCTGTTCCCAAACAACGATGGGGACTTCGCACCTTCATTCATGCAGCCACACGGACCAGCCAGTCGCCTACACACTCGACGTAAGCCAATATAACGGTACTGTAGTCTTCAATCTAATTTTCATGCGTAGCCCCAGCGGCGAATCCACCTCCATGGGAAGACCCGGCTCAGGCTTGGCGGTACGTGGACGACGACAGGGTATGGACCGGCGAGGCCTTCGTGGTTTCCCGTCGTACTCGGCCAGATACAAGGACAGGCAGGGCCAATCCGCAGGCCTCTGGGTCTTCAACAGCGGCTGCAGCTCCACAAGACCCTAGGCAAACCCAAGCACCGAGGGGCCTACATGGTCATGGTGTCTTTAATTCCATTGGACAGCCGCATGCTCCAGTAAATCTTCAGAAGCGTGAGCCAGGCAGTAAGATGATCCGAAACACCTTGGTATTCTTCCCGCTAAATCATTGTTCCGCAGCCTTTCCAATTCCAGTTCCTGGTAGCCGTGATAGTGCCTTGCGAGGTACACCTGCGGCTCCTCGAAAGACCGTGAAAGCCCCATCACCTAGCAGCAATGGTGAATTCGTGTTCACCGGCTGGAACGACGAAGCCAAGCGAGAGCTCTTCATGTGGAAAGTAAAGCGCAAGAAGGGCTACCCTTTCTTTTTGCATCTCTTTCCTGGTGAGACTGCGGATTCACTACACGAGGCGTTCAAGTTGTACAAAAATGAAGGAGAGCGTTTGTTGAACGGATAAAGGTGCACAGGACCGGTGGTGTTTGGATTTAGGTAGGACGTATACGTATTCGTTGGTCGGACGGAGGACATTGATGCGATCTAGGCTGCTGGCTTCACGCCAGTGAACTTGTTGGATTGAATGGGTAATATAGTACTGTGACCCATCAGGCCATAGTATGAGGATACGTCTGAAAGGCGATAATGTTTTGCATATCGTCGCGTCCGAACAGGAAATGACTCCAAGCCCAAGTCCGCGACGCAGATACGTAATGAACATTGAATGAGTAGTCGGAATGAATCGACTGGAAAGAATGACGAGTCATGGTGACGTGAGGCGCGTGTTGCGCGGGATTAGTCATCGATATTAGCGCGTCAATCTCGCGTGGCCGCCAGTCGTCATTGCCGTTGTCCTCTCACCAAACGCATCTCATCCCATCTCCTTTCGGGCACATTCTCCTCACTTCGCTTCATGCTTTTCGCGAATAACATGCGTTCATCCGTGTTATAGAGGCAGTCACAAGATGGTAATGTGGAGCTCCTGATCATGTCCGTCCACACGTGGTCTTGCTTCGCTAGACAGACCTCGGGATCCCGCGATGCACGCAGCAATACCGCGAGGCTCTCTGACAACCGAGAAACTCGTACGACAACTAGTTTCTGTTCTGATTCGAAACCCAGCAGTCAACACACCGTACACAAATGTCAGCATCCCATTCAAATCCGGTCTTGGCTTTCATGGCACTACACACAAGACAGCACTTGGAATGCTTAACCATGGGGATAGCTCTTATCTGGGCTTTCAAAGACGGCTTCATCTGAGGCCGAAAATTCCGAAGAGTCGAAGATCATGGCCCTGACGGGAGCTGCGACGCTTGTGCGACATGAAGAACCCCAGCATCCTAGCGAGCGGTCGGCCCCGCCGCGCACTGGCGTTTGACACACTGTTCCGACCACTCTGGATCGCCAAGCTGGCCTGTAAATGTTGTGAAAGCGTTCCATCATGTAATTCCGGCAATGCCAACGACGGGTGGCTGAGGGAAGCAGATGTCACTGGGACTCATGGGCTTGAGAAGCATTTATTCGCAGTAGGCCTCAGGAGGTGCACCTGATGAGCTCACTAGTACCATCGCTTTACTTCACAGTCATCTGTTCATCTTGCTGCCGGACAGCTGTTTCTTGTCTACGTCTTCTTTCGATCCGCTAATTAACAAACTCTCTCGATATGAAGCTCTCTCTGGAATTGACTCTCGGTCTACTGGCCGTATCATGCGTCGATGCATTCGTCGTTCCCCCTCGCACGCTATGGGCAGTATGTTGATCCGATGCACCATCTTGGCTACTCAACACGTTATCTCTCTTGTTAAAGCCTGTCACTCACTGCGTATGCTGACACTCATGCTAGACTAAAGCAAACCTTGCCTCTCGCTCGTATCGCGCACACCCTGTCAGACGTGACGCAGACTTTCAGAGCTTGGAGTCGTTGACCCATGGAGGAAGTCGCCGCCGCGAGGCCCAAAAGCAAGGTGGCGGAGGAGGTGGTCTCACGATCGGAGGACTCACTCTAGGCGGCTCAGGCGGTGGTATCACTGGCAATGGTCTCAAGCTCGGCGGAAATCAGCAGGGCAATGGTACTGCGGTAGCTGCAGAGGAGCCCAAGTCTTCAGCAGCAGAGGGCGAGAAGTCCGCCACCGCCGGTGAAAAGCCTGCTGTCGCCGCCGAGCAAGAGTCAGAAGAGGGTGCGGCTGGTGCTGGCGCTGGTACGGAGAACCAGCCCGGACGCGCCGAAGGAGAAGCAGCAAGGAAAGAAGCTGAACAGGAAGCTCAAGAGGCCGAGGGTGAGAAGTCAAACGGTGTCAAGGCTACTGAAGAGTCTGAGAAGTTCTCTGAGGAATCTGGTATCACCCTCGGCGAGGACGGTGCCGCGGCGAACCTCGGTGGAAACCTGGGTATCACGCAGGGCTCCGACGGCAGCAAGTCAATCGGCGGGTCAAACGGTATCAACATCGCTGCCAATGGAGAAGCAACACTGGCAGGTAATGAGTGATAATTGGCCGCCTGACAACACAAGGATGTGTCAACCCTTTCTGTTGATTTTGCTTGTATCTCTCATTCGTATATGATTATCTGTACAATGATCACATGTCTGGAGCTCGCGTTTCGAGAACTACTCTCATTGCTTGCCTGGATGAGCTGTGTTCTCTCACCAGCGCGAACAGACGGTGAATGCAAGCGGTCATCATGTCGCGTTGCTTGGAAAGCGTCAGAGCTTGTCGCGAACATCGCCGGCTGACCTCCTATAGAGGCCAGCCGCTGTCAGTCTTATTTCAGATTTTCTCTTTCGTAGTTCACCGTTCATCGCTCACATCTGCACCTGGCGTGCCTTCCTCCCTGGTGAGGATGCTCCGCCAAGCATGGACCCTGCTGTGCATATCAGGTAGGTACGACCCAAGCTCATACCCCATCGCCACAACGCACACACGCAGCGCAGAAATCGGTTATCGATTTCGCGAAAACATGGCTTCCTCCGCCTTCGACAACGATGATGACGGCAGTCATTTAGGAAGACAGCAGCAGCCTACACCCCTCCCCAACAGCGCCGTCGCATCTGAGAACAATGGCTCTGACAGTGACGACGAGAGGGACTTGTTCAGGCTATCACTGGAGCTGACAATCGCGGACCGCAACAATAGCGATCTGAAGCGGGAGATTCAGCGGTTACAAAGTGAAGTCGACGCCAGTAAGACTCGGGAAAGGGATCTGGAGCGGACGAATGAGCTCAATATCGTCACGGTCTCTGAAGCGAAGTCACTGCGCGCACGAGTACAGGCGCTCGGATCCACCATTGAACAAAAGGATACCGAACTGATCATCGCACGACGCGCTATGACTACAGCGGAACAAGATGCAGCCAATACTCGTGCACAATTCCAGGCCAACGTCCGTCGTCTCCAGGGTAGAGTCGACTCTCTTGAGGGCGAGCTTTCCAATGCCAACGCACGCTCCAACGAGATGGCCATCAGTCAAGCGACATTTGACGATTTGCAAACGCGGGTCGACCAGCTGTCTGCTCAGAATCGTCAGTATGTTTCGGAGGCGAACATCAACACTACGGATGTGCAGCGCCTGATGAGCAAGATCGAGGTTCAAAAGAGAGAGCTCGAAGATCTTCAAAAGAAACTCGTTAATGCCGAGACAGTCAGAGATCGGTACGTACTACATCACATTGTTATCCGCTTTGCGGGATTTTTTGGTAGGCCCGGAAGGCTTTCAGTGTATCTTTACCACTCTCACAAATCATGAGAGTGCTGCGAGTTCCTCCAGGCCTACCCAAAACCTAGTCACGACTTTCTCTTCCACAAAGCAGCTGCTAACATGGTCACAGGCTCCATACAACAGCGGCGCAGATGCAGGCGGACAGGGACATCCAAGCTGCCGGATATTCGCCATCCTCTGACCGCAGTGTGGATGAGGACCCGGAAGCAGAGAACGAGGTCGATATCATCAAGGACAAGCTCGCTGAGCTCAGGTGGAACGCACTCGACTACGTGATGGACCTCGATCTAGCCAACAGAAACTTCCGAGCCTTCGACTGCGAGCACGATAATGTTAGGAATGTCCCTGACGGAAGGAACTCATCGTATGGGCCTACCGCTGTCAGAGTAGCACAGGACATCTTTCGGGATTGGCAGGATGATGAACAGTTCATGAGAGGGTATACACATCGACGACAGAAGCTGATAAAGCATCACAAGGCTCATGGACGCATTCAGGAAGGGAACGGTGTTCGGTTCTGGCTTCTCCGGGACGAGTTCAACAATCTTGACGGTCAACGTGGGGTCAACGTCACCTACAACTGATGTATTGGCGGGATGGACGGAGCGAATATACAGGTCGATGATGACTACATAGCGAGTACCGTTTGCGGAAGGCACGATGATGATGGAGGCGGGAGGTGTACAGTGTGATGTGCGTGGTTTGTATGAAAGACGCTGATATCGCGAGGATATCGATGCGCTACTCTAGCCAGACGTACGTGTACATAGAAAAATCTCCAAAAAATCTTGGCTATTGCCTATATCCCTGTGTGTCTCATGGTCTGGAGTGTGGTACATAAGCATTGCTACATAATGTGAAGGGAGCGAGCGAATGACGTAATGCGCACTAAAATACTGTGCAAACCGCCCTAACACCAATATCCTACAACATCCTCATCCCGTCCAAGATCTCAACATCAACATTTCATTTTACAGGGATAATAGTTATTCCGACAAATGCTGACTTTCACGCAACTCTTCTTCCTGTATCAGATCAGCTCTGTGCCAATTTAAGCTACGATCATTTCCACCAGCATTTGATCTTGAGTCGTCTTTTGCGATTTTGGGAAGGCGAACACAACAACTGTTCGAACACATCCTGAGAAAGAGATTGAAAGATTCATTGGAGGAACGAAGGGCTCGCTAAGGCGGCTTTTAAACGCTGCCTTTTTTTCTGCGCAAGCATCCCCAAGCCAGCCAACAAACCCAACCTAAACACATTATGCAACAACCGCCCTCCAGACGCGGCCGTCCAAACCGGCAACCGCCTTCTTCAGAATCATCAAGAGGTACCCACACGGGCCGCGGTCGCGGCCGCGGCGACTCCAACCCCGTCTCAGACCGAGGAAGAGGACGAGGAGCGTCTAGGGGCAGAGGACAAGGCCGCGGTCGCGGTAGACCCAACTTCAGACCGGACCCCGACGAAGCCCCTGTCCCCTCATTCGCATATATCCACCCCGGAACAAGCGTCTCAATAGTTCTCAAACAGGATCAACCCACCGGACACCAAGTCCGCGGTATCGTCGCCGATCTGCTAACGCGGGGTGATCATCCGCGAGGTGTGAAAGTGAGGTTACGAGATGGAAGGGTGGGGAGGGTGCAGAAGCTTGTTAGTGAGAGCGAGGGACAGCAGGGTGAGGCTGTTGTTGGGGGCGCTGGGGCGGGGCTGGGTAGGGATGGTGACGGGGGTGCAGGCATGGGAAGAGCAGGTGGGAGGATGGTTGGAGGCAGGGTGGAGAGAGATATTAGGGAAGAGGACGAGTATCTTTATGACGAAGGCAGGACTCGGAGACAGCCAGCTGACGTGGGGCTTTTTGCGGCGTTGGAAGAGGCGGATCGGAGACATCAAGGTGGGGATGTGAGGGGGGTGGAGGTAGCGACGTGCCCAGTATGCGGAGAATTCGAGGGGGACGAGGCGGCGGTTGCGCATCATGTTGAGGAGCATTTTGGGGGATGAGGTACGTGAAAATGGAGGTCTTTACATGCTCGGCATACAAGTATGCTCTCGTGACACAATCACAATTTTTGAAGACCAATCACGAAAATAGATCACATCAAGGACGCTCTCTTCTTGATCGTTAACTTTTGAAATTTCGTTCTACACTACTTCTTCCAATAAGTCACAAGCGGCATTCATTTCCTCAAGCAGATCTCGTGCATAAGATAATAATGAGAGACGCCAGGCAATGCTCAAATCCCTCGAAGGCCAATGTGAAAATCAATGCTTCGCACCCAAATACAGGAGAGCGATCCAAACGACCGTCTATGCATCTACTGCTCGCGCATCTCCTGTATCCAACGCCATGAATGAAATCTGTCGGAAATGTTCTGCCAAGGGTATACACACGAATCAAAGGTCGGATGATGTGTTTGAAACGGAGCGTGGTGGTGGTTGTCGTTATGTGGGTATGATCGGGGCGTTTAGAAGGGGAAGCCACCGGGCGGTCCTCCTCTTCGGCCACCGCTGGGCATGCCGCCCATACCGCCAAACGGACTTCCACCGCCGCCGGAGCTGAAGTGGAAACCACCTCCGCCGCCACGGCCGCCTCCCATACCTCCGCCCATGCCGCCGAACATTTGCATGACTGTGAATCGCATTAGTCGTGAACTTTCTTTCATAGTTATGAGAATACTTACGGATCTCTGGGTCAATGCCGCCACCCATGCCACCCATGCCTCCTCCCATGCCTCCGCCGCCGAACATGTCGTTGGGATCGACAAGATCAGCGCCGGAGTCGTATCTCTCGCGCTTTTGTGGGTCGCTCAGAGTCTCATGTGCTTCTTGAATCTCCTTGAACCTGTCGGCAGCATCCGCGTCGTCTGGGTTCTTGTCGGGGTGGTGGACAATGGCCAGCTTTCGGTATGCCTTCTTGATCTGTGTCTCTGTGGCGTCCTTCTCGATACCGAGAATCTTGTAGTAGTCCTTCCTCTTGCTCTTCTTAAGCTCCATCTCGGCATCGCGGATTTCTTTGGCAATGCCAGGCTCCGATGGGTTCTCTTCCTGGATAGCCTTGAGATCACGTACTGCCTCCTCCCAGTTGCCGTTCTCTCCCAGGGCCTTCGCCCGGGTCTTCCGTGCCTTTGTGTAGCTGGGATCGAGCTCGAGGGCCTTCTCGCAGTCTGCAATGGCTTGTTTCCAGCTCTTTTGCCGGCTGTGGCACAGGGCTCGGTTCTGTAGGATCTTGGAGTTTGTGCCCTTGTTCGAGGGGTCGACTGCGAGTGCCTGCGTGTAGGTGTCGATGGCTTCTTGGTACCTGCCGGACTTAAAGGCAGCGTTGCCCTCTTGCTTCATGCGGTCCAGCTTTTGCACCATTCGCAGGTACTTGACAGCGGCCTTGAAGTCGGGGTCGCATGCCAGTGCTTGTCTAAAGTGCTGTACAGCCTTGTCGTTCTCGCCCTGGGCGTATAGGATGCGGCCGCGCAGTACGAGGGCGTCAGGATCCTGGTTGTTGTACCGTAGTAGCGACATGGCTACGTTTTGTGCCTCTCCAAGTGCATTGGCATTGCCCATGCGCAAATGTGCCTCTCCCCGCATGAGCTGCCACTTCCGGGGCTTGTCTACACCAACGCCGAGACCCTTCTCAGCCTCGTTGAGGGCGTATATGACCATGGAACCCGAGCCCTCGTTCCTTGATGTGTCTTCGGCCATGCGGAGGTGCTTCTGCATTGTCAACGCAGGCTGCTTGTCTTTGGCCGTGGCATTGATGGAGTCGTACACCTGCACAGCCTCGTCGGGCCGTCCCAGGCTGGTGTATACTCTGCCTAGCCGCAGGAGGATCTTCATGTTGTTGGGGTCCAGCTCGTCGGCCATCTTGCAGTCCTCCATGGCCTCGTAGAACTTGTTGGCGGAGATGTAGGCGGCGGCCCGGTTCGAGTAGTAGGTGGCATTTTTGGGGTCGGCTTCGATCGCTGCGGATTGGTTAGCCAGAAGCTCTCCCGGTGTACTGTAGTGCAAAGCTTCGGCTAGAGCATGGGCAGTGTCACTACGCACCTTTTGAGTATTCCTCGATGGCCCGCGGGTAGTCTTTGATCTTGAAGAACTTGTTGCCGGCAGCCTTGTACTCCTCGGCATCTATCGTCGGGGGCTCAGCGGGCGGGGTGGCAGCCTCGGGAGTCGCAGCATAGTTTGCAGTGGGCGGCGGCGGGCTCTTTGTGTAGCGGTGTGGTGGAGGAGCAGGCCCATCGGGGGCGCCGTTGGCGCCATTCGTCTTGGGCGTGTCGGCGACGGGGCTCGAGGGGGCGGGCGAGGACGAGTGGTCCCGGTCCACGTCCATTGGCTGGGGCGTGGGCTGGTCCATGGCGGACATCTGCGAGGACAGGCGCTGGCGCTCCTCGGGCGGGAGGTTTAGCGGGTGGGAGTCGCGGTCGTACTTGGACGAACGCTTGGACGAGTAGGAGCTCGAGCGGCGGCTGGAGGAGCGTTCCCGGTCCTTGACCTTGGAGTGGGTGTGCTTGTCAGGCGAGGCAGGAGGGGTGCCTGAGTTAGCCTGGGGTGAGGGTCGGGGGGCAAGGTTGGGGATATCTCTGGTCTTGGACGACTTCTTTGAGGATGCGAAGAAGGAGGGAAGAACCATGGGGGCGAGCTGCGGAAGGATAGCGGCCTGGACGGTGTCACTAGAAAATTAGTCTGGCTGCAGCGACTGTCGGTTGAGATCCAGGGCGGATAAAAATTAAGCTGGGATTTTGGTCCTAAAAACGTTGCTAGAATGTTCCATATCAGCGAGGTTAAGCCCGCTAGCACTTCTGCCACAGAGTCAAGCCGCAGCGGACGTGCATCGGAAGGCTGGGCTGATAGTCGCCTACCACGCCAATCGCCCTGCATGCGGCACCGACTTACTGCCCGTTGTCACGTCGCGGAAGCGGTAAACGCTCTGCAATTACCTTTCTCTCACTCTCGACACGCGACTATACGCTGTGGGACTCCAGGACTACCTCGAGTGGGGCATCCGACTCGCCCAATCCGCGAAGAGAGGCTGGGGCGCGCAGTATCAACAGACGACAACAATACCTTGCATAGAGGATGCGACAGTCTGTCCACTACCAACGCTCATCGTCCTTTTTATCGTCGATGCGCTGGCCTCTCAACCACCAGCCTGCTTCTTTGTGTGCCAATGTAAAACGCTCTCTGTTTGCAACTGCATGCACACACTCGGCCATGGCAACAGCAACACCGAGAAGATGACTTGAGGTAGACAAGCGCTTGTAGGATGACTCGCCGTTGCGGAGAGACGTTCAAAGGCAGCAAGACCGACAATGATCTCCCGAACAGAAAATTGGCGTGGCTGTGGTTTGTCACAGGGTGTCTGTCAATGATCGGATGCAGAAGATGCTTTCCATTTAGTCGACTGTTCATGTTCTCGGTTCCCATTGACACGACTGTATCCGGACTACCTGGGTATTCCAGCTCAGCGTGCCCTCACGTGCGTCACCAGCTGACTACACACCCGGGCACCATCCCGAGGTCTCACCTCATGCACTAACTCGGTAGCTGTCAGGCTCCCGTGGAACTCGTTACCTGGTTCCACAAAGTCACAGCACATGCC